AATTACAATTTTCTCCACGGAATAAGAAAATCGTGTTCAGCTTAACGTAAGCAAAAATAATTAAAGTTTCTCTTCCTCAAGAATTTTAATGAGTTTAAATTGTTATGCTGTGTCTTTAAGTTCTTCATTTTACATACTTTTGCAACACTACATTATAAACAATATTGATAACATAAGTAAAAATAAATAAATCAACAAAATAAAATATTAATGTTGATAAATAAATTTCACATAAATGGAAACATTAAGTTTTATAACCCGATGTTGCTTTATATGACCTTCTACAACCTCTCCGTGTGCAGGACCATTCATTGTAAAGTAATGTTTAACACTGCAGCTGACAGTTTATGCCTTTATACATCAATCATAAAGAGTGGGAGGAGAAGGCGATATAAAAACCACGCCCTGACTCACCATACTTATTTGTACATTTGAAAAATAACGGTAACAATAAAAGAGTGCTAGTTTTGACAATGACATAACACTTGTCATTTGTCAAATTTTATATAGGACGCACAGTACAACACAGTGTCCTTTTTTAAGCCTATAATGTGGAAAGCATGGAAGATTGAAAAAAAATGTATAAAAACCACAATAAAGACAAGCTGGAAAGGACAGAAAGTGTTTTAAGAAGAATACGTACACATTTTAAAAGTGTGAAATTGTAAGTAGGCTGTCTGGCAGATAAGAAAAATTAATTGTTTTTATATAAAAATTGAAGAAGTTTTTCAAGCACTCTTAATAATAAATATTAACATTTTTATATAAGAGCTATAATGATTACTTACAAAATATGGTAAGAAAAAAATGCACATCAACAGATCGCAAACACCACGAAACCTATACATTTTCCACAAACTAATTGTTCAAGAAAAGTCTAAACATTCAAAATAAAAAGATAATTATTACTAAATTTAATTTCAGTAGAGAAGTATAAAAATTCTTTTCAAGAAAATTATTTATATCTGACCATCCTATATCACCATTGGTGTTAAAGTAGTAATTCTACTATTGGTGAATAGATGGAACTTTGCGAACCTATTAAACAACCAGTACTATATGGGATTTATTTAAGATTACTTTAAAATATAAATATATAACATTCACACTACGTTTATTTGTGTGAAGAGTATAAAAACATCATCCCATATAGGCACATAAAAGCAGAACTTGTTTGCATTGTACTCCTTTGGGTCAAACTGAGATTGTGATTGATTGCGGTAAGAATGAATGACAGAAATGACTTCTGCATAAAATACACATATGAGAAAACATTGAAAAATAGGCAAAGTTAAGTAAGGGGAATGAAAAGTTTAGTTAGGGAATACATTTTTTTAAAATTTAAGCATTAAAAATGTACGCAGGAAAAATGAAACATAATTGCAGGGTGGGTACATAAATGACAAAAAACTACTACAGCCAAACAATGTTCACAAATTTAGAGAATCGTATCTGGAAGTACATTTTGTTGCTAGCATCTAACATATATTCTTTTGTTTATAAAAGAAAAACCATCGGAATTGAAAAATAAAACTCGAAAAAATAATTCCGAACATTTATTTTGCTTTCTAAAAAATAGTTTTCACTTAGTTCATAGCGTTATTCACTCTTGCAAATTTTTTTCAAAAACCAATAATCAGACAAAGCAATACGCTTAACCCTCTTCGAGATAGATTCATTATTTCACATATGGAACATATGGAAAGAATCCAAGTTGCTCATGTTTAGTAAAGTCATTCGAAATGACATTATTTTCTTATTTCACATAAGAAAATCTACTAGAATCATTAGTACGTTTTACCAGAAAAAAGCTTGATAAGAAAATATAAGCTTTTTAGCATATACCATAAGAAAATATTGTTACAAGTTGATATTTAAAAAAATTAAATAATTAACATAACATATATTTATTTTTATTGAAAAATATAAATTTACTTACTTGCTAAATCCTTTGTAGACAGTAGCATATGAACCTTCGCCAAGTGGCTCCAATTTTATGTAGGCATCTGATTTTCCAAACGGTGAGTCACCCTATTAAATAAAAGCACATAACTTTAATAACAATTTCGTTAAATTATAAAATTAATTTATATAATTTCAATAAACTATTATTATTTTAAACTTCTGGAATATATTTTAATTTTTTATAGTTAAATTAAAATAAAAACATTTCGCATTTAATTAAGAAGTGTTTGACAGTCCATCACCAAACTAGAGGTCATTTTATAATAAAGAATATTTTTTAAGCTGCATAAACACTATCGGAGACCCTATACTCCAATGGCAGAAGAGGATAAGAGAAGAAGAAGAATGAGTACTATCGATATCGATAAATATAGTTTCACAGCTGAGAAAGTCAAACTGTGTTGACATTTATTTCTGTTCAGTAAGGTTTGCTGAATCCTTATGAATCGTTTATTGCTAGAACAAAGCTTCCAAATTGTGGAAATTAGTTTATGTCGACAAACCAGCAACTCTTGAAATAATAGAAAACAATGTTCATGCCACCATACGGCCACATTTATTGCAAAAAAAAAGTCAAACATTGGACTGATGGAACGAATCATGTAATTCGTAGTCTCGGCGGTCATATGCCAGAAATCTTATTAAAAAAATAAATATGAAAGTATCTACCAGATTATAATAAAACAAATTTTACTCATGCTGCTAAAAAACATCCTATATATTCAAGGTTGGGCTTCCTCTATTTGTCACTGCTTTGAGTATATAGCTTACGCTATATTGCATTAAAATGTAACCCATTGTACATCTTCAAACACATCCACGAATATTCATAAACTAGTTAAGTTCCTGGTTTGTAGATGTACTTTTTTGAGAAAACAAAAAAAAAACAGCACTGCATTTTTTTAGATTAAACTTAATTATTTTGACTTGGAAAATGCTCAAAGCCTATAGCCCATGAAAGTGTGTCTAAACTTTTCAATCAGTTTGAAGAATTAATATTGCTACAAATTGATATAAATTACAAAGTGAATCTCTCTACTTCACTAATGCATACACTCAATGCTCAGCTTAGTGTTCAAAAATGAATTAAAATAAGCAATAGCCAAACTAATACTAAGAGCTTTTGATTTATTTAATATTTTTAAACTGTTACCATCTTTCATTAATAATCCAACTATTTCAATGTTTTATTTAAAACCTTCGAAGCAAAAAGATATTAATTTATTTTTTAGTGACACAATAAATCTTAAGAACTTAAAAAGCGGCTCTACTACCAGACGGAACTCTTTAATAATATGAAAAACTAAGGAATGCCAAGAAAGTTTAAATACGAGTGGATGTTTTTTTTTATTTATTTCTCATTTTAAGACACTCAAACTTAATGTGCTTATCGTTGTTTTTGTTCCTGACATTTTAGTATCACTCCGACAAATACAATGGGAATGCGAATGCGAATAATGAAACAAAAATACATTTCCTTGCTTAACTTTATCCTTATCAATTCAACACTTTAAACACTCAGTGTACTGTATTTTCTCACTTCTCGACTGTACTCGTATATAGTGTAGTGTGTTTTTAATGCCTTATTTATTGCACTTTTAAGTAGTACTTACGCCAAATGCACTAAAACGTTTTCGTCGTGGATGCGGGTCCTGTTTGTTGAGAAAAACTTCCGATTTTGGTCTGGGTGGCTTTTTGGGACGCATTATAACGCGTGTCTCCTCCCGTATGTCATCGTCGAGTAATTTACTATCGGATGAAACGGATAATTGTCGTTGGACACGATCATGATGGTCTGTGCTATCTGTGCTACGCCAGTCTGTAAGTAGAAAAAAAAGTATATTGTAAAAAAAAAAAGAAAGGAATTAATTTTAAAAGTAATGAGAAAGATAAATTCATACAAAAAGTAAAGGATGCGGATGAGAAGTTCTAATAGTTTTAAGAGAATAAAATGTATAAAAAAAGAAGGTAAATAAGTATGAAATACAAAAAGTTAACTAAAACTATAAAAAATATTACTAAAAAATTGAAGTAAGTAAAAAAAGCTGTAAAGCGAAGCTGTAAGGAAAGATTTATTGCTATACTAAAGTAGAGAAGAGAGCAAGTAAAGATTTTAACTTTAACTTTGCAAAAGTAAAACAAGTGTTGCGGTTGAAGCACCTTCAACACTTTTCTACTAGTACTTTTAATATTTGCTACATTAATGGTTCGAAAAAAGTTCCCAGTGTAGAAAATTGCCAAGAAAAAAAGATATGCAATATTGTACATTTTTTAAACCACAAAGAGACACTCGAATTGTATTTGATTTACTATAAAAAAATTAAAAAATGTTAGCAAAAAACAAAAGAAATATTTACTCAGTCTGCACAATTCAATTTTTTTGTTTTATAAAAGAATATTTAATATTGTATAGTATAGTATTTAACATAGTAAAGATGCTTTCTCAAAAAACCTTTATTTTTTTTTAATTTAAAAAATAAAAAATGATTTTACACCATATAGACAACAGAGTCTTCTCCTCGCAAACTATTTTTTTCAAACAAACCGATATTGGATTAACAAATTTATCAAAAATTGATTAAGTAGTTACTTTTGCTTGAATGGGATTACTTTAAGACATAAAGGTAATTGTAAAAAGAGTCCAAAAGTACTTTGGACCATTGAACTATGAATTACTACAACACAAGATTCTTTTCTAGAGAAGATATCTTTTTTAAAGAAAATATTAACTATAAACTTAGACAAGTTTTTTTCTCAACAAAATCAAACAATCAAACATACTTCGATATACGGCGGCTCATCATTACGACATAATATACGCTAAAACGGCCGTTCCTTCTTTTGACAGTTTTTGGATTTACGACCAGAAATATTTCATCGTCCAATCAATAGCTGATATTGGATTAAAAAATTCAAAATCGCCACAGTTTGCACATAAACGTAGAAAAAGAATTTCACATTTTGAAAAAAATTATAGGAAGAGGTGGATACAAACCGAAACAAGCTTTTAATAAAGATGAAACAGGTTTATATTGGAACGACTCAAATATCTTTCATTTCAAAATCCAAAAAAATTTACATTCAGATATAAGTTATAAGGAAGGATTTAAAGGATCAGTATCTTTGGTTTAGTGCAGAGGATCTTAAGTTAAAACCACTGTAAATACATCGTACAGAACATCTAAGATATTTTTAAGGATCTACCAAAAATAACTCAATAAGAAAAACTGAATGCCTAACATAAAGCAAACGAACTCGAGCAAAAAGGCATTCCACACTATTGGAAAATATCTCAGGACACCCGATTAATTTATCTGTCTTATGAAATAATGTGAAATTGAGTATCCTCCAAAAATATGACAGTTCTGATCCAACCTATTGATTAGGTTCCTATAGCAACTTTTAATGCAAAAAACAAAACTTTTCAGAAACTTATTTACTAAAGCGATAGTGAGTCTTCGATAAACGGATTTTCGCTTTATGGTCAACTTTTTCGGAACGTGTCTAGGCCGTTAATCGAAGTATAGATGTGATAAGCACTTTCATGTATATCAATTGGCTTAAATCACATAAGTAAAACATTTAAAAATCCATATACTAAAATTTTATTAAGATTAAATTATTTATATTTTAATCGAAAAATGCATCTGAAAGAGATTAAAATTTGTAAACTTAAAAGTTTAACAAATTCAATTTTCATTAACACGTGTTCGCAAACACAAAACTTCGTAAAGGAACTTGCATTTATCGATCCATTTTTAACGAAAAACGTATTCAATAAACTGACAGGATTTACACTTCAGAAGCTAACCTTTTGCAACTGCATCTACAAATTTATTGCTCACGTTAACGTATATGAATGTGTAAAGTACTTTTGTTAGTTTGGTGTCATCTGCGGAGGTGCGCTATGCATAGTACGCCTAAGGCAAATGTAATTTAAAAAAGTAATTAGTGCTGAAAAACGGGAAAATTCCAACACACAGAATTGAGTTGAGCACACAAAAGTTGCAAACGACGCCAATGCAAATACTTCAACAACAACAACGGCAATGTAATGGCAGGAGCAGCATTGGCACTATTGCCACAACTCAGAAAGTTGACTAGAAGGAGCAACAGTGGAGGATACACCAACACTGATGTTTATATTGGTGTGTAAATGTCTCCAGGTTACTAGGTGACCCACTGTATGTGAACATCGTACGTTGTATGTTGTATGTTGTATATTGCAAGTTGTAAGTTATGAATATGTCGTTCGTAACGAAAGCGTAACGAAAATGTATCTATATTTCTACCTTGCAGTTTGTGTTGTATTATTAAATACATAAATTTTCAGCATATCCTAGACCAACTTTTGCTTGTGCTCGTTTAAAACGAAAATATTGTTCAGCAACACTTGCTGCCGTTACTGTTATTGCTGTTCCCGCTACCAACGTCTATATTCCCTATTCTATTGCTGGTCTATTGCTAGTGAATCCTATATTTTGCCACTTCGGTATGCGTTTGTGTTTTATAGTTGTTTTTTTTTTTTTCTTATTTGATTTTTGTTTTTCATGCTTGATTATTGGCATTGCAGGCACAGTGGCATTCCGTGAATTACTATAGATACTTCAAATGCTTTTGTGCACTTGTGTTTACTTGAGTTTTTTTTTCCGGAGGGACACACAGTTTTGTATTTGTTTACGCATGAAATTCAAATGTTGTTTTAAAAGGAATTGCAGTTATTTTGTTTATGTGAAACATCAAAATTTTATTTGATTTGGTTTCTCTTTTTCATTTAGTACTCATACTTTTATTTTAAAATTTAATGATCCAAAAAGTAAACACGAAAAGGTTTTTTCGCACGAAATTTACAAAAAAAAATATCGCGAAATGATTCAAAAAAAAAATTCTTTTTAAGGTTATACACATAAAATTGAATAATATATATAAATATTTAAGAAGCAAAAAAAATGGTTATGGTTATAATAAATATTTATTTTATTTATATAATAAATTACGCTTAAAATTTTTATTGGCTTTGCAACTATATAAAAAATTAAACTGTTTTTTGTAAAAGAGTTTGTGGAAAAATACTTAATAAACAAAATAAAAAATTGCGCCGTGTAGTATGCAATGAATTTTTTATTATTAAAAATTTCAGTGTATTTTATGTGCCAGCGATGGCAAACCTTTTATAGGCCAAATATTATAACTGTTTTTAAAGGAACTTTTGGCACATCCCAACATTATTAAAAGAAATTAAATCAATAGTCATAAAAGATAGTATACAAAACCGATCGTAAAACCAATCACTAATTTTATCAAATTAATTATTGTAAAAATCAATTAAGTGTTATAGGTAAGACTTATAGGTATATGTTTTCACATTCAAAAATATATATTATAATAAAAAGATATATGATATTGCTAAAAAACCATTTAAACTGTTACAACTATAATAAGATAAGTTTTCAAATATTAAAAGCCATATTCATGTGGACAAAAACTTAATTAAAAGTTGATTACCAAGTTTCGACAAAAATCTTCCAAAGTTTGTACGTTTGGACAATTTGGAACAGTACTTTTAGCAATTCCATTGCATTAAGGTCTCGCCGAAGAGGGGTGTGTTAGTATATGTCCGTATACTACATATTAATGTAAGAGAGTCGAGCACATTATTTCGACGACGATCGATATAATTCCCTCACCTTGGAAAAAAAATAAATGAACACCGCAATTTTTACGCTTATCTTTTTAACAGACATGTGTTCATTAAGTGTGGTATAATTGGTGAATTTGGTGAATTTGGTGAATTACCGCTTAAAATGCAACAAAAAGTGATGTCAAGAGATTTCAGATAGCGACTTTATTTATTTCTTGATCCAGAACACAATTTTCAATTTTAAATCTATTTTTTTCGAAAATAAAGTATATTGGGGTATATATAAGTATTACGCAGACAATTTTCAAGGGTTCAAAATCTTAAAGAGATTTATTTCCTCTTTATAGCACAGAACTACAAAATTTAAAATCTATTTAGGGTGAATTGTCGTGTATATTCATAATGGTACATTTATTTCAAACATATGGCTATAAGCTACTGGTACTCAAAGACAGCCAGCGAATTCAAATTATTCAACGAAAAATATTGAGAAATTGAGAATTCATGTGAATTCATGTCTCCTGAAGTTAGCACAAGACACGATTAGAACAGAACGTCGAACTGGAGTAGT